GGTCAGGAAGCTCATGGCAGAGCTCCCCACATAGTGTGGGCCAGTGGGGATCAATTTGGCTGTGGCTGAATCTCTAAATCAGATTCGGTTGAATCAATTTGGGACAGTGATTCGAATCACCAAATCGAATTACTGTCCCCCAAATTGGCCAAATCCAAATCCAAAGCGAATACTAGCCACTTTGCACAGGCCTAGTTAACATTATTGAAAGATTTTAACCGAGCAAGGTAGGGAATCTACTGTAGGGTAGGATGGCATTTAACACATCAAGACTACAGCTTACAAAATTGATAATACCTGGTCAAAACTGTCTAGATTTGTTTTTTCTTCCTATTTTAATTATTCATTCTCCAAAAGTGAAACTGGTCTAAAAAGAATTGTACTGGGAGGGGCTGAAAAAAGTGGACATAGAGGGCTCCAATAGACAAAAAGCAGTTTTTTTATTTTCCCTCCTTTTGAAGAGTGCAGTACTCAAAAAAGACCTCTGAGAAATAATGAAAAGGGTTAGAGAAGGAAGGAATCACAAAGGCAATTCCTGATTTAACTATGGAAAGGAGAACAAAGTCAACCAAGATCCCAGACTACAAGCCCCTGTTAATACGTAGGCTATGCCTAGATCTTGCACTACTGAACAACATGATCATAAGAAAGGCAGCAATATCAGAATCTGATTATGAAACTAGATATTAAAAAAGAAAGCCAGGGATGGAGATGCCAATCACAGAAATAAAGTAAATGTAAAAATAAAAATAAAGCCAGTCACAGAAATAAAATGACAGCAGCAGTCATACCGCCTTTTAAAGTCAGCGTCATTTCCAAAGCTTGAGTCGGTGCAATGTAACAGCTATTACCATCTTCTCTAACTTATCTAACCTTGATATGTCTGAGCCTTCACAAGTAAATGCATGGCTGCAGTAAACATCAAAGGCCAGTCTTGCTTTTACAGGAAGCTCTGGCACATTATAGTAGATTCACTGCAAATACTGAGAATTCATCACTGTAAAAACTGAATTGTTATGATATGACCTTAGGAACTGCATGAAAAGGAAGCTGGGGGCTGGGGGTGGGGGACGGATATGCTAGACAGCTTTCAACTCTAAACTGTCTTTAGCAGCAAGGGGAGCAGTCATGATGAGCATTGCTTATTGCCAGGAAG